ATCCCAAAACAATACCTTAAGAACATCACGGCCTTGTAGTCTCACACAGCCTGTGCGTGTGCTCTGTGTCCTTCCCGCTGTCTGGATTTTGGACCAATGAATGGCAGATGGGGATCTGTTGGATCCCCAGAACAATCACAGATCACCTCCAGCTCAGCCCATCGCGCCTGACCGGCTCAGGAGCTAATCCTCCCCCTTAATCCCCTGAAGAGGCTGAGGGCTGCCAGGGCCTTGCCTACGCCAAGCCTGCCACGGTTTGGTTTAAATGCTAAGTGTGGTCGATGGAGAAGCTGGACTATTTTCAGACCCGATTACAGTGAAGGAAACGGCACTGTGCTCGGCCCAGGAGTCTTTTTCTGTACACAAAGGGTTGTGGGAGTCTGGAACTAGCTACCCAGCCAGGTTTGTGAAGCCAGTAGCCTGGGTTATTTAAAAAAACAAACTTGATGAGACTCTCAAACCAGTTTGCGACTAGAAGCTAAACCAGTCAGGGCATACACTCGCTTGCAACTTTCCTTGTGTCACGACAGCATTTCACCACAAGAGGGTGCTCACTGTACCGGACTGCAGTGTGTCGATTCCTGTAAAAGTAATTTCGCCGAGGAGTAATTTCTCAGCAATGGCACTGTCAGCCCTGGTTCAATATTAACCATGCTGTTGATTTAAGAAGACCTCAGGCTGGATTGTGATACAGCCTGGGACTCACTGATCCTGTCCCAGCCTGCTACCATATCTGGCTGAGAGGAAGAGGGCTCAAAGGCGGCCAATGCTCTGGACAAGACGCACACAGGGGGCCCGTGCAGACGTCCTGAGACGGATACAAAACCTGTGCAAACTCTACCCTGAAGATCCATTTTACATACAAATTCTTAGTCTGGGGGCTTATATATATAGATTAAAAAGCATTTAATTGTAAGACATGCTGTTGGGTCCAGTCCATGTGTTTTGTTTTTAAATGCCTGACTATAGGTTATCAGAAACAAGATGGTGATGTATTTGACAGGCGATGCACAGCACTGCGGCGCCTCCAAAGCACCCGAGAGCAACTGCCCTTCAGCCTCACGAATCTCTTTTAATGGGCGTTGATCATGTCAACATGTCACAGTCTGCACAGCTCCGGGACAGTGAAACCGCCTGACTGCACGAGCCCGCGGCCTCCAGCTGTCCGCTGGGGAGCTTAGACAAGAAAATACAGGTCAAATACACAGGAGCAACGCCCCCAATCCACCCCCCTGCCCCTGCACCTCATCGACTCCCGTTAACGATCTTCATGATGGCTGCTGTTCGTTAGACTTCATCAAACCGGATCTTGTTGCGCCTGGCGGACGAGGGGAGGAGTCGCGTTTCAGGCTGGGGGGGTGGGGGGGTGGGCGCCCCCTGCTGGCGTCTCTCGGCTGCTCCGCGCCCGTCCGGCGCTGTGCTGTGGAAACTGCGCCCCCTGTAGGCGTGAGGGAGAACTCGCGAGCGCAGGGTTACAATGGAGCCCTGCACCCGAATGGCCGGCGCATGGAGCAGCTCCACGCCCCCCTCCTCCTCCTCCTCAGGGTGCCTGGGCCTGGGAGGCCACCTCCGCGGGCATGGCGCCGCCCGCTGGCACGGCCCGCTTCTGGACGTGGTACCGGTGGCAGTCGACGTGGCGGAACTCGACGGCGAAGAGCGCGAAGAGCAGGAAGAAGGTCATGGCCGCCGCCCACTCGCACCCGGCCGCCGCCGACCGGTACTGCTGCTTGTGGAGCACGGACACTGGGGGGGGTCAGGGGTCAAGGGTCACAAGGCTCACACGCGGCAGGGGGGTGTGGAACGGGGGCAACGGGAAGCCCACAGCCCAGCAAGCGCAGGCGGGCTCGCGGGAGGAAGGATACTGCTGACGATGAGGACGGTGCAGGCGCTGCAGAGGCCGACGCGGGCCGGGCCGATCCAGCGCCCCCCGTGGCGGGGCGCCACCGTGTAGGTGAGGTACGCCTGCACCCAGAAATAGGCCAGGCCCACGAAGAACGCCAGGAAGGCCCCGAACAGGTGGGCGCCCATCAGCACGGATTGCTGGCGGAGAGAGAGGCAGGATGGAGTCACTGGAACACTGGTCCCCACTCTCCACCCCCCGACCCCCGATTTTCCCCTCCCCTGTCCCGACTACCTGGAAGTTGCCCACGAAGGAGCAGCCCAGCGCGCAGCCGAAACCCAGCACCAGACCGGCCACATTGACCCGGGAGCTCTGTCCATAGTCCTTAATCTGCTGGTAGCGGATCAGAACTATCCACACCACTGCGGAGAGAGACAGAGGACATACATCCACAATATATCCACAGGACACGGC